CCCCAAAACCCCAAAACCCCAAAACCCCAAAACCCCAAAACCCCAGAGGCGAAGTGAGTCTTTCAAGTGATATATTATTAGTAATAATTAAGAAAATGGCTAAAGCTCTCTTTTATAGAGCAACATGTAGATTTCTTTATCAAGGACATATTTGGTGTTATCTTTGCCTTGGATTTCGTAGACTTTATCATCATCAAATTCATACCATCTTTCGTCTCTTTTGAACAAACAGACGTAATGACCTCTGTCCATCTCCTTTCCTTTGTGCATGATCATTCCGAAAAGTTGGTATTTTAAGGAATATTTCTTTGTATCTTTAGTAGACTTTGTGAGATAAGATCCTACATCGATAGCATGTCTGTATCCTATAATCGATCTATCCTTCTTTAATGAAGGATACTCAAATCTTTTCAAGTGTATTATCAAATGTTGGGGCGCTTTTTCAATCCTTTTATTTCAAAACTGCATTTGTGGTTGCTTCTCAGTACTCACAATTGTACTCAGAATCCTGTCCTATCTTCTCATCTTTAAAATAATTATCAAGACATCCATCTACTGTTTCGCTCTGAATGTCACAGCTGAGGTCTAGGAAGGGCTCATAGTTTTTAGTAACCTTTTTACAACAGTTCCTTGAGACAGAAGTACTCATGAGTCCAGTGAACAACTTATCAATTATGGAAGAGTGCCCTTGTTTGTATTTATTCCAATAGTCTATGGCTGATTTTCACTTGGTAGGGTCAGGATCTTTAGGAACGGCAACCCCTTTAGCTTTTAATAAAGTCTTCTTGAATTTATTCTCCTCATCTTGCAATTTTGAAAAGAAGTATAATATGAACTCATGTGTATCTTGCATCTGAGTCGAGAATATTTTCTTAACATGGTTTTGGAGAGCTGTTGGATTATAAGCATCATCCCTGTCCTCGATTAAAGAATCATGGCAGAACTCTGAAAATAAGTAAGAGATATTATCCTTCTTCTTTGTCGCTTTTGATAAGCTTAACAAATCGTTAGGATTTATTTTTAAATAGTACTCTACTAGTTCAGAGATGCTTAGCAATGCTTGTAGACAAACATTCATGTATCAGTAATTATTAGGATTTTTGAGCCCAATAATATTAAATTCAGCGTTGTTAATGTTAGAGATTTCACTTTCATCGTCCTCGTACTCTCCTTCATCATCACCATATTCGCCTTCATCATAGTCATCATCTGGGATTTGCTCTTCTCCAAAATTTTGGAGGATGATGTTGTTATTGATGTATTCTTGGATCATTTCATCTTTATCATTTCGTAGCTTATCATCCTCTTCTTCATTTTCAGCTTCGTCAATAATAGGATGTCGATTATCACCAATACTCTTCTCTATGAAGGAGCTTTGGTAATTTTCAGTCTGTACGATATTCCCAATGTTGGTTCCAAGCGAGGTTGTACTTGATCTTATCGATACTGTTTCAGAGTTGACCTCCTTCTTGTCCTTATGAAGAATAGGGCCACCCCCATAGATTTGGTGGAGGAAATCCCAGACTCTACGATCAACGACGTAATAATCTCTGCCTCTTTTGACTTCTTGATTATTGAAAATAAGGTACCAGAGAGGCCTGTTATCAATACTGCCAGGATGCTCTTTATCAGCTTCAATGTAATCAAGCCATTTGTTAAGCCATTCTCAGGATATAAGGAATGTCATTTTCTTCTTTTGGTAGTACTTCTTAATCTCACATTCCTCAAGAATCTTACAGTATGTCTTGTATTCAGCCTCTTTGATCTTTTTGGCTTCTTCAGAGTCAAGATTTGGTTTCTTCTCTTCTTCATTATTAGATGAAGACTCATTATCATAGAAGTCCTTATCGGTTTCTTTTAAGTTCAATGGCTTCTTTTTAAAAACTCTTTTGACTTTTATCTTGTGAACCCTTTTCTTATGTTTTAGCTGTTTCTTACCTTTCTTAGATGTCTTTGGACTAAAAAGGTTGAAATGGCACTTACACATCAGAAACTTCAGAGTATTTTTCAAGATGAAGAGCAGGTATGGAGGTCTTAGAGTAACTCTCCTCTTCTTCATTGACTTTCTCGAATGGCATGACCTTGTTATTTTCACTCTTCTTTGTATCATAGTTCGAGGGATAACCCACTCCTGATGCAGGAGGATTGGGATACGTCTTTGAATTTAGTCGAGACACCATATCTGATTGCAAAAATGATGATTTCTGGGACTGGGAATCTTTACTTCCCAATTTGATACTATTCTTAGCACGATTCATGCCTTTCTTTTGATACGAGTTTTTACCTTCTTGGTTATGAAGCAACAGTGGTGAAAACAGATTTGTATGAGCATCATTATCAGGCGAGAATGTCCGTTTCTTTATTCCTGTTCTATGGAGAACTTTGTCAAATTCCTCAGATTGTGAATCAATCCTTTTCCAGCTATGGGCTCGTTCCTCTTTTGCTCTGAGACATAGGCTATCGTTGAAATAACATTCTTGAGTGAATAGGATTTCATCCTTATTTACTTCGATTTTATTTTTATAGATGTCATCGTCCCTATTGGTTAGCAAAATAGATGATTTACTTGATTCATATAGGATTGTTACCGTAGGAAAATATCACCTCGTTATCACTAGATGGTAAGCCGGTATGTTGATCTCCAGTGCCTATATTTCTGCCTCTTCCAGGAGCTTTAATTGCAGGATTCCCATAGTTTTTCCTAACCTTATTATTTTCCTCTCCCGTTGTTAACAGTTTTGAAGGCAGATACATCTGATGTTCTATTACTCTTCATGTCAAAGACAGTAGATGCTCTACATTGATTAGTAAGTTAGTTAATAACCACTAGCAATTTTAAAAATTATGTCAAGTCCTAGTTGTTCTAACTTATAAATAAAATTCCAAAATTGGCTGGAATTTCAAAATTCCTCTTACATAAGTTGGCTCAAAATCATGAATTTGTAAAAAATTATAGTAGAAATTTCCCTTTATTTCTAATTTGATTTTAGATAGTTCTCTATTATGCTTAAAATATTTAAAATTCCTTGGTGAGCAAAAGAACTTACTTCGTCTTATCCTTAGATTTTCGGATGGGTCTATCAGTGATCTGATTTGGAATGGCATCATTCCCAAGACTGTATGGTCGCTTAATCTTGACTTGAGCACTATCCTTCCCACAGCATATTAAAACCTTGAGGAATTTCATATTTTATTATATATTTTCATTTTCAATTATTTTCTAACTCTGGGGTTTTGGGGTTTTGGGGTTTTGGGGTTTTGGGGTTTTGGGGTTTTGGGGTTTTGGGG